CGGCAGCTTTCTGACGCTCGCTCCTGCAGGCTGCCGCAGCCACGGGATGGTCCCAAGCGGCCACGGGGGAAGCGAAGCCGCCTGACTGAATGCCTGCAAAGAGCTGGGGCCAGCCAGGCCCAGAAAATGTGTAATTCTCCTAGCTGAGCTATTACCTGCTGTAAGTGGAGACAGAAAGATAGTTTAGAAACCGCAGTGAAAATAACCCTCCTAGAAAGAAAAATCAATATGAACCCCAAGGAAAGAGGATCAGAATCCAAGACCATCAATTCCTGAGATAAAGAGTGGAGAGTTGCAGTGGGAGGACAGACAGAGCTGGAGTGAAAAACAAAACTTTGTTGCTGTTGCTGACAAATGACTTTTCATGCTAAAGGGCAAAGGAGCCGGGAGGACAAGGACTCCAGAGGGCTCTGGGGGAGCTGCCCTGGAAGAAGGAAGGAGCAGGCAGAAACCCCACAGCAGCTGCTGCAGCTCTCCTTCTTCCACACTTGGAAGGACTTTCTTACAGGTGAGAGCAAGCGAGCTGTGCAATTTTGTGCTCTTTGGGGCATGTCACAAAAACAGTCTTCAGCACAGATTGCAAAGCAGAATTATAGGAAACAGCAGTAAGGCGTAACTGAATTCAGCATTAGGTAAATACCGCCAAGACTGACTGCGGGGAGGTGGGCCCCGGCTCCCCGGGGAGCAGAGCTCGGGCGCCCTCCGCGCGCTTCCCAGCGGGCTGTCGACAGCGCCGTCTCCGCACTCATGAGCGACAGAAATCATGGCAAAAATAAAAGTTAAAGTACAACCACCCCATAAATCTCATGCTCAAAGCTGCACAGCTCTGCACGGTGGGCTGCAAAAGGAACCTTTTTGTGTAACCGGTATGTGTTAACTGTTTTTACCTTCTGTGCTGTTTGTCTGAAAATAAAAGCAACCAGAGCAACACATTTGTTTCTAATGGCTTAATTTTTCTGTCAGATGTGTACTCTTTGCTTTAGAACCTCTGTATTATTTGTTTTGCAGCAGCTCTTTCGCTTTTAAGGTAATCATATAAAGGATCCTTGACTACGTAAAGGCAGCTAATCTGGGTAAATGCCTCTAAGCTTCTTTACATTTCTTGCTAATGGATTTCTAGGCAGCCCACAGGGATTCATGTTCCAGAAAATAATGTAAAATATAGTAAGTGTCTAATTTTTGTTAAATGCCTCACATTTGTCATATACTGAGAAAATCCACAGCTCCGGGCAGCGTAAGATCTTTATACTTAGATAAGTAATACGCCTTTCTGTCATCACTGGTGTGAAGTCAGCCTTGCACGGGGGGCAAGGATCCATGCAGTACTCCAACCCGACTGGAGACAAATCATCACGCGCTGCTAATCAGAGCCAGGCAGGAGGGGTCCAGGCTCCGCAGTCCGCAGGGCAGCCGAGGCGCTGGCTGCGCTC